CCCAGGTGTGGGCTCTTCGGAACTCCATCCCACCCAGCCCAGCAGGCATGCACCTAGTGGGGGAGACAAAGCCACTGTAGGGTCACGGCCCAGGAGTATAAAAGGCATATATTTGTTTTTGGTTGAAACCCCACTGGTCTATAGCCCTGGTTTGGGCAAGATGGGAAAGTGGGAACCAGGAGGCAGACACTAGCTCTTAAGGCCTAGTTAAGCTATCAACTGGCCACGTGTGCGCGGAAACATCTCATCACGTTTTAGGGCTTCCATTTCTTTCTTTGGACTGGTTAATTGGCAATGGCATCTCTGAGAAGCTGAAACTCACCTAAAAAATATAAAAATATTTTAATCTCACCTTAAAATCTATTAAATATTTTAAATCCTACCTAACATTGTTTTGTAACCAAGCGAGTTAGAGAGAAATGCCACACTTTGAGACAAATTAAGGAGTCCTTTATTAGCCGACGACTGAGAGACGGCTAACGCTCAAAATTCTCTCGGCCCCTAAGAAGGGGATAGATTTTCTTTTATACTTTGTTTTAGCGAGGGGAGGGGGATTCTAGCTGTAGCAATCTTACAGAAGTAAAACAGGCAAAAAAGTTAAAAAGGCAAATGGTTACAGGAAAACAAACAGTTCCAGGTGCAGGGGCTTAAAATCATCACAAGGTGATAGGTGTGGGGCTCTGCGTGTTATCTGCCGGACACAAACGCAGGGGCTTTATGGTACTATCTCCCGAGCCAATTCCTGGGAACTGCGGACATTGCTTGCCTCAGTACCTTATCAGTTAATTGGGCTCTTTGATATGCTGAGAGTCAGCTTACACGAGTGAAGTCCTTGAGGAAGGGGATGGGTAAGGAGCCCTTGATGTCTTGCAAATGAAGGAGCCAAAAGGAGTCCCTCTAGTTTCCTCAGCTAAGGGAGAGTGTATTTATGTTAAAACAAGGTGAGGTATTATAACATGGCATTTTAATTCAGACACTTCAAGATCCCTCTTGGGAAAACCATCCATAATTTCAGCATGTTTTTGGAGCTGGGGCCTTTGGTCAGAAAGGATGGGAGAATGGAAATTGAGTTGTGATTCAGGATAGGGGTGCCAGGGTGCACCTCAGTGAGCTGAATGAGGCTGGGTCTCAGAACTCCTGAGCCCAGGCCAGGTCTCCAAGGTTGGTGAGGGGAACTTCTTCCAGAACCCTTCCATCCAGCCCTGACTCCTGAGAAGGAGATAGTGTGCTTCAGGTGGCAGAACCCAAGTGCCCAGGTCATAGGCAGGTTTTCTCATGCCTCACTCACCAGAGATTACCCTTATCTTATATCCTGCTAAATCACAGAGGTTTGGGGAGTTCCTTTATGCCCCCAATATAACTTGTTTGTGGAGGTCGGGGGAGTTTCTTCAGACCCCCAATAAAACTTGTTCAATTCTAACCAGGTACTGTTAAGAATTTCTTTGTTATCTTATTATGCTCCAAGGCCAAGGAAAGCTCTAGGCACAACTCTTGGTGGGCTTTTGTTACATTCCAGGCTTTGTGTAAGGACACTGGCTCTATCAGCTTTTAGTATTTAACTTAACCACTCAGTCAGTGCTGGAACAGTTGTCATGGAACCCTGTCTGTTCAGCTGTTAGTGAGACCTGGGCTGCCACAATGAGGTTGTACAACTCCCCAAGAGGAACCAATATAGTGGCGGGTGTGGTGGGTCAGCTGGGGAGACAGACAGCAGGATGTAGGAGTGACAGGTGGTGCAGCTATGCTGAGCCTCCTGTAAAGGCAGCAAAGAAGGCCCTGGCAGGGCAGCATGGCCCAAAGCCTCCCAACCCCTCCCATAGGCCTCGACCCTTCCAGACCCACCCCCAGTTGAGACTGGGGAAGGCAGAGAAACCAGGGCTAGTCGGGAGAAGTGGATTTCCTGGGTTCTGGGTCTGAGGATGGGGCATCCAGGAGAAAGCCTTCTGCTCCCTAGAGAGCTTCCTCTTTGGTAGCCCTGCTCCTTCTAGGAAAAATGTCCTCTCTTATTCCAACCCCAGGAGACCATAGATTTGGGGTCTGGAGAGATCTTAAAGAGCCCTCCTTCGACAGAAAGGGCAGCAGAGGGGCTGAGAGTGAAATGGCTTGTCAAAGGTCATAGGGCAAATCTGAAGCAGAACCAAGAGGGGAGTCCCAGGGGGCTCTTTCCAGGATCCCATGGATGACAGGTCAAGTGGTGAGGGAAGGAGGGAGCCTCTGCAAATGGGAATGGATGCTAGGGCTCACAAAGGTCTAACAGTTGGGAGCGGGGTTGGAACTATGGCTGCAGCAGTACCTTTGGAGAGCCCAAATCGGCCAGGATTCGGCGGGGCCCAGCCCTGTTCCATGTTTAGAGAGGGATCTTTGAGCATCCCATCTTCATAAATTTGAGAACAGGGTCACTGAGAGGCAGCCTCTGAGGTGGCAGAGTGTATTAGTTTTCACACTGCTATGAAGAAATACCTAAGTCTGGGTAATTTGTAAAGAAAAGAGGTTTAATTGATTGACAGTTCTGCATGGCTGAAGAGGCCTCAGGAAACTTATAATCATGGTGGAAGGGGAAGCAAACACGTCCTTCTTCACATAGCAACAGGAGAGATAAGTGCAGAACAAAGAGGAAAAGGCCCCTTATAAAACCATCAGATATTGTGAGAACTCACTCACTATCATGAGAACGGCATGGGGGAACCACTCCTATGATCTAATCACCTCCCAGGAGGTCCCTCCCCCAACACATGTGGATTAAAACCAAGATGAGATCTGGGTAGGGACACAGAGCCAGATCATATCACAGAGCCAGAAGAGCTGAGCAGTGGGATCTTAGTAAATGTTCATTAAATCAAACCCTTGCACAAGGCTGGCTTCAGAGGTGCCACCTGTGCAGTGGCAAAGGTCCCACACTCAGAAGGGACCTGAACTTGGTTTAATGTTCTGCTATCACTGTCTTGAAATTCTTAACAATTTTTGAACAACGTACTCCACATTTTCAGTTCACACTGGGTCCCATAAATTATGTACCCAGTTTTGCCCCTGAAGCAAAGACATGGTTTGTTCATAAGGGCCCTCCCTACTCCTCCCTGTCCATCCCACTCCAAGGTACCCTAAGTGAAGGGGAACACACAGCTAGGAGAAGGTGGTGTTTGATGATGATCTTGGAAGTCTCACCTGAGCATGGCTGGTGATGCACGTGTGTGGGTGGGAGAATTTGGCTGCTCTCTATTCTGGCAGCCTCCATCCCATGCACAAGGCCTGCACTTTGCCTCTCTGTCCCCCTGTGTCCCCCTACCTGACTCAGACCAGAAGTGTAGATGGGGGGTGGACACTGAGCCCCAGTGCTCCTGGGCCCAGCTGGAGTTCCCTGTTGATTGGGGAGATTTGGCCCCTCTGACTACTCCTACCCCATCCCCACTATGACAGGAGTTGGTGAAGGGACAGGGTGGGAGGCTTAATTAACAGCCAGGCCAGACAGCAGGCAGTGAGGCAAAGATCGGGCTAACTTTTCCTGCTACAGATCTGCTCTTCAGAGGAGGTATTCATGGACTGGCTTAGGCTGTGGCTTGTCTACTTTAGGAATATTCTTAACCCTTCCTGGGTCACTTGCCATCATCAGACTTCTCTCTTAGAGCACAGAGCACCAGACTGTTGCCCCTCCCTGTCCCCTCCTCCCCAGTCCCTGCTTTCCTCCCTGCAGCTGAGAAGGTTAGAGTTTTCTCAGGGATGGGGCAAGTTGACTTCTGTCAAGGAAAACTTCCAGGCCCCTGGGCCCCATTCTTTGTCCTGCCCTGTGCTTTCTCCCTCTTCACTTCATCACAGCTCTGGACTCAGCAAAGTGGCAGAAGGGGCCTCACCTCAGCCCTTCATCTTATAAAACTGGAACATTAGACTCCCTCATCTGAGAGAAAACAACTAACCTGCATCCTGAGAATAAGATGGGAAGCTGTGGTCCTGGCTTCCAAACTCTGGTAGAGAAGGAGCCCCTGCTTGCCTGGCTTTGAGGCCCCATTAGGGGCAAGTTTCCAGCAGGGTGTCCCATACAGCACCCAGAGCCCCTCAATATCATGGGGTTCACTCTGCCTGGATTTTCCTCCACTCCACGTCCTTCCCAGAGTCTGGATTCTTGCAAAAGCCTAGGCCAGGATATAGGCATTACCTGTGTAAGGCCAAGGGGAGTCCCACTGTGGGCCAGGAGGGCTCAACATTAATAAATCTGAAATTCAAGCCAGACAAGGGGATAGATCTTGGCTCGGTGTCAGGGGTTTTCTGTGTCATGTTGGGCTTGCCTAAGGTGGGAGGCCCAGGACATCTGGGCCTTGTGGTGCCTTCTGACAGAAGGAATTCGAGTTTGCCACCAAGAGCTAATGGGAAAGTTTGACTTGGTGATCCAGGCATAAGACTGATGATGCCACACAAATGCCCAGGGGCCTGTGGTGCACCTGACACTGTCCTGGGCAATGAACGGGTAAAGAGGACCAATAATCAATAATCATTCTCTTCCTGAGAAAGGAAGCTCTCTTGTGGCCAGGCATCTGGCCACAAGCCTGGGCCAGTGTTGATGGGCTCCAGCAAGTGAGTCATCCCAACTAATTCCCCCTCCTCCAGGTTATCACAATCAGCCCAGCTCCAGAAGTGAAAGAGCTGGCTGCAGATGGGGGTGAGGCCAGATGAAAATGCTTTCGCTCCCCTCAAGAGCTGCGGAGCAGACCCTTGCAAAGGGGTTCACCGAGCTGCAGTGTCTTCAGCCTCCAATCTAGTAAGAGCCTGATGGATTGATCAAGGTGTCCTGGGAAAGATTCTGAGTTCAAAGAGACAATCCCCTCCAGAAACTCCAGGAGAATTGTGTGTGTCATTTAAAGAGTAAGAAGCTGCTGGGTGTCTTGGCTCACACCTGTAATTGCTATGCTTTGGGAGCTCGAGACAGGAGGAGCACGTGAAGCCAGGAATTAGAGACCAGTCTGGGCAACATAGTGAGATGGCCCCTCTCCAAAAAAAGGCAAGAAGACCTCTCTCTTTACCCGTTTACTTGAAAGATGTGACTAGAAGACAGGAAGCTGGCTGTTGAGGGGGAGTCTCTCTCTTCATCAGGCAGAGGTAGGGGAGCTTCCTGAGGCAGAGGCGTGGACGGTATTTCTGGCTCTGCAGTTCCTGAAGAAATACTGGGGCACCCAGGCTAACCTTTGGCAAAACTACGAGCTGAACTCAGGAGTCCCTGATGCCAGCCTCTCCGATGGGGTCCCCTGCTTCCCTCCCCCATGTGTCTTGCTCTCTAGCTCCCTCCCCACCAACTTCCAGGCCAGGGGCCCCAGCTGGCTGGTGGAGGATGTCTTGCTCCTCAGCAGCTGGGATTTGTAAGTATTTACAGTAACATGTAACAGATTAGGGGCTGACAGGCCCAGTGAGCGGGCAGGCCCCTTCCCAGAGGTCAGCAGCTTCACTCCCCCTTCCCGCTACTGTCCTGATTTGAGGGTGCACAGGATGACAAAGAGGGAGTAGTTGAACAAGGTATGGGGTGGCAGCCTCCACAGAACTCAAAGGATGCATTTGTCCATCTGTCCCCGGCTCAGTTTCCACACTCAGAGTCACTCACATTGCTCCACCCTTGCCACAGCTCACCTGTATGTCCACATGATCAAGGTCACACTGACCCCAAACACACACTCTCTCAACTCTCAACACTTCACCATCACACTCACATGTGTACACACATGCTTTTGAAATTCCACAGCCACGTGGATGCACACAGGCTCACATCTTTGCACACACAGAGGCTCACACTCACAGACCCATTGGGGGCCCAGATCCTGGTCATTCCACAGGTCTTAATAAAGGTTCTGGGAGAGAAACTTGTTTCCTGTCGAAGGCAGAGTGGGAGTGTGTTTGTGGGCGGGGCGGGGTGGGGAGGGAGAGTGTCAGAGTGCGTGTATGTTAGAGTGTGTGTGTGTGTGTGTGTAAGAGAGTATGTGTGTAAGGAGCAGGAGTGACTATGTCCTGAGTTTAGGGAGTGGGGAAGAGAAGGGAGAGATGGAGACAGGTGTGGACCAAGAGCCACTTAGAGCTGAAATCCTGGAAGGAAGCGAAGCTGAGATAATGGCAAGGCAAAGAAATAGACGCCAACAAGGATCAAGCTAGAGGAGGGCATGGACTGGGGACAGAGCCCACCCTCATGAGAAGCTGTCACATTGCTGCTCTGAAGGCCTCTGACACCAGCGCCACCTCCAGCTGGAGCTTCCCCTCTCTGGATCTTGTCACTGTGACTTTGCTTTGCTACTTGGGCAGCTAGGAGCGGTGACAGGCAGGGAAGACGGTGCCCACAGCAGCTGGCCATGCCACTCTAGCCCGGCTACCAACCCACCTGTCATTGCCAATCTTATCACCTGCGGAGTCCCAGATGAAACCAGCAATTGGTCTGGCTGCCTTTGCCTCCTAGTGTCACAGTGAAGGCCAGGGGAGCAACCGGCCTTCCTCCACAAAAGATGGGCAGGTTTAACCAGACCTTGCCCAGGTCCCTGAAGACTACAGCTGAGTCTGGGGAGAACGGGCCGAGTCTCTGCTCCCAGGCACACAGGACCTATTTATTATAAGAAAGAAACAGGAACCAGCATGAGACAGGGGCTTGAGGAGGAGGTTGGAGAAGACATGTTTTTGGCATAAACTTTGGGTCCCTGTCTATGCTCACTGCGCCGGGCTGAGCCTGCCCCTGGCCGCTTCCACCGGCAGCACCTGGTGCTGCGCCTGGGACAGCGCCTGAATGGTGGCCGATCCTGCCTGGACGTCCCGGGCCGGTTCCTAACCCACGTCCGCCGTCCCCCGCCTTGGTGGGGAGAGGCTTGCGCTGCTCCTCGCCATGCTTAGCAGCGGCTGCTGCGGATCTCTGGGTCCAGGGTAGCACACGCCCCGCCAACCCTGGCCACTGCTTAGGAGGGGACTCCCGGGGCTGCAGTTCTAGGCCCCGCAGGCTGTGGCTAGGGAGACGGCTGAGGGCCTGGAGCCAAGAGAAGCAGCAGGTCTCAGGGCCGACTCCGAAGTCGTTATCTCCAGCTTTGTTCCCGGGTCTGGGAACCAGCGGCCGCAGTCGGCCACCGTCGTGGGCGAGAACGGGGGCGCGGGGCGGTCGGGGATTCTTCTGGGCACCTCACGTGCGCGCAGGGCCCAGCTTCACCACCGCAGCTGCAGCCGGGCCGCCTGGGGCCTGCGAGTTTCCCGGGCTGCGGCGCTGCACCACCGCGAGGAATGAGGGCGCGGCCCCGGTGGCGAAGGGGCAGGTCTGCGGCTCCGGCCACTGGGGGCAGAGAAAAGACCCCGGCGCCGTCTGGGCGCCCAGCTCCGTTTCCGCCGCGGCTAGGAGACTCCCGGGAGCGCCAGCGGCTCGGGGCCCACAGAGTCCTGGAACCCAAGGGCGGCCTTGCGGCGCAGAATCGGGGGCAGCCTGAGACAGCACTCGGCGAGGCGGCCACGCCCCACCTACCACGCGGCCGCAGGACTCGGATTTCGCCGCTGGTTTTAAAATTGTACCCGCGTAGCCCGGAACGCTGGGAGGGGGAGTATTCTGCGCCCCTCCGGTTGCGGTCTCCGCTTTAAACCGACTTCCAGAGCTGCCTCTGCTCCCCGGAGGGGCGGGCACCGGCGTCCCACGAGGTCGCCGGTCCTCAGCCTCTGGCCCGCCTGCCTCGCTCCGGATGCTCGGGGCACCCCGCTTCGCTGCGCTCCCCACTGGCGGCTGAGGCGCGCTGCAGGCGGGAGCTGCGGCTCCGAGATTCCGGGCGTCCCCGCCGTGCCAGCGATGGAGAAGGGCCGAGGGCTTCCAGGTCGCGGCTTCCGGAAATTCGGTTATTGAGCGGAGTTGGGGGTCAGGTTGCAAAAGGAGAGCCCCCCTCCCCCAGGTTGTAATCACCACCCGGCCCGCCGCTTCCGCAGCGGCGAGTTGAGGGCGGAGCTGTTCGGTTGACCGAGCACAGAGCGGGCGGGGCGCGGGCGAGCAGCTGCACAGCCTGGGAATCCGCCTCCAACCGGGGCCCAGGGGCCGGCCCCACCTTTCCCTGGGTCAACCCTCAGCCTCATTCCCTCGACCCTCAGCACCCCTCCAGGCCCAGTTCGCTTCAGAGGCGCGAGAGCTGTAAGAAGGAAGAAGCGAGCTCAGCCTCAATCCCCGTCCCCACCCCACTTTTGGGGCCGCTGAGCTGGAGAACTGAAGGGGGCGGGCCCCGAATTACAGCCGCTCCCTTCCCAGCCTCGCCCCGCTTTCCTTCTGTCCATGATGATTTTCTTATGGTCAGGCGACAGCCAGGCTCCCTGCGCTCCTGGGACGGGGCGGTTGGGAGGGGGCTCTGGAGCCCACGCCTACGGTGGGGCCCGGCAGGGATGACCCCAGCCCCCTGGCTGGTGCAGCGGGAACAGCTGGTTCCTGCCGGGGCGGGGAAGCGTGGACAGCGTGGGCTCGGGCGCCTGAGAGGCACTCGGGGCCTCTAAGGCTTGGCCACTGGCACGGGTCGTGTAGTTGTAGCTTCCGCCCCCGCCACACCCTCCTCCTTGGACACGGATTAACTGGCAGGTGTCGGGAACCTGGCGCCCTTGCAGGGGAGGTCCTCAGGAGCCTGAGGCGGGGAGTTGAGACGCTTGGGGGCCAGGATGGGAATAACTAGCGGAAAATATAACTGAACTCTCAATGCCAGTCTGTTGTAGAAGCTCCTGGCACAAGCAGTGGAAAGTCCCCGCAGGAGGCTTCCCGCGATGTCCTAGGCGGTTGCGGCGCCTTTTCGTGGGGAGCGCAGCCCGGAGCTGCGGGCAGGGCAGCGCTGGGGGTGGCCCGTCAGAGGCTGGGTCTGGGGACCCGAGACCAGGCCGGGACAGGAGGCGGGCTCAGGATTCTCGGGAGCATCCCCCTGAGCTGTCCTGGCGGGAGCAGCCACTGCAAACGCCGCGCTGGCCTCAAACACCGCGTCCTTTGAATGTTTTAATTAAGAATAATGAATAGAGAAGGGCTTGGAGGCTCACGACTGGAACCCAGTACTTGGCGAGGAGGGAGGATCGCTTGAGCCCAGAGGTTGGAGACCAGCCTGGGCAACACAGTCAGACTCCATGCCTACAAAACAAACGAAGGAAAATAAACAGAAAAGAACCAAATTAGCCAGGCATGGTGTGCAGGCCTGTGGTCCCAGCGTTCGGGAGGCTGAGGCAGGACGACTGCTTGTGACCGAACCAGTGCACTCCAGCCTGGGCGACAGAGCAAGACCATGTCCCAAAAAATGTGTATGTCTGGGTGAATGTATAGATTTTACAACTATTTTGAAGGCGGCCTTTTTAACTTTAAATAGAGCATTCTGGAGGAGATGCCTGACCCAGAGGCTTTCCCTGAAGTTCGGTGCCCAAAGTGCACCCTTCCCCTGGCTGGGATCTCTCCATTCTACCAAGCCCTGCCTTCTGCAGAGGTTGGCTCCATGGCGTCTCCCGCCGCGTCCCAACTGGAGAACAGTGTAAAGAATTGTCAAATAGAGGGAGCTGAAATTCAGAAGCACGCTTAAGCCAAGTCCTCAAAACTAGAAAGCATAAAACAGGGTAGGCGTTTTGAAAGCGTAAGGACAAAACACCATGGGCATGGATGGCTGAATCCGGGGATCAGCATCATAATTTGTTGAGAAGGAGGCCATGCTGTGCTGCCAGTTATTAATGGGTTTAATCGGTTGGTTCACAGCCCTACTGATGGCCTAACCTCCCAGGGCCTGGGAGGATTTGCAGGACCTGTCAGAATTTGATTGCAGTTCCTTCCACTTGGCATAAGGGGGCACCATCAGCCTGATTGGGAAGGTCATGTGGGATGGAGCCCTCCGAGGTGGCGGCACTGAGCTGACCATGCCACAGACAATAGAATGGGAGCCTTTCCTGTCCCCTTTATGGCAACTAACATCAAAAGCGCTGGTATGGGCTGTCTGTCTGCGCTGGAACCCGAGTTTGTCTTTGTCTGCAATTAAGATTCTTCTGAGTTTATGTTGCCAGTTCATCATCCAGCTCTCTGGAATCAGGCCTCCCAAATTTAGCAGATGTTGGGGAGGACTCCAGGGAGTGGCTTATGAGGGCTGGCTGATGAAACTGCTCTTTCCTTTCTGTTCTGTGAGTGTGATGGTGTTTGAGATACATGGGGCTATGGTTCAGGAGCACTTCACATGTGCAAATATGGAGACAGCACTCACCTACACATTTAGGCTCAGAATATTGATTGAAATTAGCATTTATCACACACTATGGCTGTAACTTTTGCAGTTTGAGGTAAAAAAGCAAAACTAGCAAGAATTTATTTTTCGTTTTCCACAATTTTACAAATAAAAGATTAATTCTTACCCTAGATGTAAGCAACCTCAGCACATTTTTTGCCTCATTAAGTGGAAAACTTTAGGCTTTTCAGTTACTGAAAGCATTTTCATGTTTCTCTTTTGCATATCTGAATTGCGAGCATCACTACTCTTGCATACTGAGGCCATTACTTGAACACAAACACCGCAATACCGAGACAATCCATCTGATAACTTAGATGGCTGCAAGTGACTAATGAGCAGGAGGCAGCAAGTGTGGATCTGCTGAGCAAAGGGATATTCACATCCTGAACCCAATACAGCAAAATGGCGGGAGGTTGCATCACAATCCTCAGAACAACGCATGACTTAGAACTTATAAACTGTTTATTTCTGGAGTTTTATATGTAATATTTTTTGACTATGGGTGACTGAAAGTGAGGAAAGTGAAGCCACAAATAAGGGGATACTACTATATTATAAATATGCTTAAGGACTGAAATAATAATCATATTGAGTAAACACATGTGAAATCTCAGCAGAGATAACACTTAAAAAATAAAAATTCTAGTACTTAAAAATACAATATCTTACAGAAAAAATTTCATTAGACTGAGAAGAGGCAGGAGAATAATTCCCCAAATTAATTTTTAAAAAGTCAATCAATTTTAATTTCTTCAAGTGCCTTCTAGGATTTTAGGAAACCAGATTACTACTTAGAAAACTGGTAAATAAAATAGTAACTGATAAATAGAAAATGGTAAATAAAAGAAAAAAATCACATATTCTACCTTTGCTCTACAAGCAGTACGTAAGGTTAACCAAAGAGATAACGAAGAAAAACTATCTACAAAAGTTTTATATTTAATATATGAAAGAAGAATAATAGAATTAAAATGGCTCCATTTCTTGACCTCTAATTTAATCAGTTTTGCAAGTTATCATCCCTGCTGCTCTTGCTTTGGTTCAGCCAGGAAAACAGTCAATTAAGTATTATAGAAATAAACAGTTTAATGTAAGAATTAGTGCCTACATTCATGTGCATGTAAGCAAAAAAAAAAAAAATGAATGTTTGGCAGGTTTCCTTCAGAAAGTCAGAAACACAATCACAAATGGCATCAGCTGACAACATTGATATAGGCGGGAAAGCAGCAGCTCATGAAAGAGTCGAGGCAACTTCTGTATTCAGCAGGATTATGAAGTACACGCTCGTGCGAGGTCTATCATGGGGCTACATCTGGATGCTAGAATTGCTGAGAAGAACCGTGTTAAAGGTTCTGAAAGTCTCAGTGCCTGGCTGCCAAAAATTGCTGACAGTGACTTTGGCTTCACTCTTATCTTTGGAACTGTGTGTGAATTTTCTTCATTTGCAAATTTTTTGAGGAATCATTTAGGGAAGAGGGTTCTAGAATATAGAGTTCCTAGTTTTAGAAAAGTGTAGTGGTTGCTGCCAAGTTGACAAAAGAATTCAAAACAGCTGCTAATATCACAAAAAGAAAGACAGCTAGAAATAATGTTTGGGTAGAAAAAATATAACGTCATCTATAAATTATTCTTGAAAAAATCTAAACGGTTCCTTAAACTTTTGTTTTTTTTGTAAAAACACTTATAAATGTAACAGAAGACATCTAAAACTCTTCACTTAAATTTATAAAATATTTTTGAGAGAATTAAACTGAGAAGCAAATAAATGTTGGTATATACCATGTTCGTGAATAGAAAAGATCAATACTCTTTGGATTCCAGTGTTCTTCAAATTGGTGTATATATTCTCTGCAACACCAATAAAAATTCCAAAATTTATTTTTATGAAATGACCAGCTGATGATAATATTTACATAAGAATGTGAAGGACCTAGCATAGACAAAGAATTCTAGAGAAAGGAAAACAAACCTGGAGGGTTTTTACTACTACAAGATTTACAATAAAAGTACAGGAATTCAGAGCGTGTGTTACTGACACAAGAATGAACATATAGATCAGTGGAACGGAATAGAAAGCCCAGACATAGATCCAGCCATAAACAATTTAACAAAAACCAAGGCAAGAAGATAGAGAAATAGAAGTCTTTGCAGAAAATGGTGCTGGAACAACTGAATAAATACACTGAAACTGTGAATATAGACCTCTACCTTATCCCATAGACAAAAGCTAATTTGAGATCATTGTAGATGTAAACATAAAAACTAAAATTAGGCCAGGCGTGGTGACTTATGCGTGTAATCCCCGCACTTTGAGAGGCTAAGGTGGGAGGATCACTTAAGGTCAGGAGTTCAAGACCAGCCTGGGCAACATGGCAAAACCCTGTCTCTACTGAAAATAGAAAAATTAGCTGGGCATGGTGGCACGTGCCTGTATTCCCAGCTACTTAGGAGGCTGAGACAGGAGAGTTGCTTGGACCCGGGAAACAGGTTGCAGTGAGCTGAGATCGTGCCACTGCACTCCAGCCTGGGCTACAGAGTGAGACTCTGTCTCAAAAGAAAGAAATACATGTTATTTCTAGAAGAAATATAGGAGAACATCTTCATCAATTCTGGAGAATCAGAGACTTTTTAGGCAAGACTCAGAAAGCAATAACCATAACCACAGAAATTAAACTTTTGTTTCAAAAAGTTAAATTTAATTAACCATCAAAATTATAACATGCTCATCAAAGTTACTGCTATGGAAATAAAAAGAGAAGTCATTAACTGGGATATATTCCTTATAGCACAGATATGTGACACAAGGTTTGTACCTGAAAGTTATGCAATGCATCTGTACATCTATAAAGACAATAACCTTTAAAACAATGAGCAAATTATTAGACACTTCACCAGAGAAGATATACAAATATACAATAAATATTTGCAAAGCTGTTGAAACTCATTATTTGTGAGGAATACGAGTATATTATATTTATGAATAATATACTTTAATATATAGAATTAAAGCCATCATAATTTACCACTTGATGCCCTATCCACAAAAATGGCTAAGACTGTAAAGATTGGCAAAACTACATGTTAATGAACATATGAGATAACTGGAACTTCAACACGTTTCTAGTTGGAAGGTAAAATGACCTAACCACTTTAGAAAATGATGTGGCAGGCCAGGCACGGTGGCTCACTGTAATCCCAGCACTTTGGGAGGCTGAGGCAGATGTATAATGAGGCATGCCACCACCCCCAGCTATTTTTTGTATTGTTAGTAGAGATGGGGTTTCACCATTTTGGCCAGGATGATCTCGATCTCTTGACCTCGTGATCCGCCCACCTCAGTCTCCCAAAGTGCTGGGATTACAGGTGTGAGCCAACGTGCCCGGTGTAGAGCTGTTTTCTTAAAGGTGCTTTGAGGGATTAGAAGCGGAAGAAAATTTCCAAGCATAAGTTTGTAAAATACGCAAGGTAATAAAAAACCCAGAATTGTCTAAGTTGTATACCTTTCATGTATATTTTGCTCTTTTAGTCTTTATTTGTCCCTATCTGTAGACTATGGTGCCATCCAGGATTTTTTACATTTTGAGATGAAAGTGGCTTTTTTTTTTTTTTTTAAAGGGAGTCTTGCTCTGTTGCCCTGGCTGGAGTGCAGTGGCATGATCTCGGCTCACTGCAACCTCCACCTCCCAGGTTCAAGCGATTCCCCTGCCTCAGCCTCCCGAGTAGGTGGGACTACAGGCACATGCCACTTTGCCCAGCTAATTTTTTGTATTTTTAGTAGAGATGAGGTTTCGCCATGTTAGCCAGGATGGTCTCGATCTCCTGAGCTCATGCTCTGCCCGCCTCGGCCTCTCAAAGTGCTGGGATTACAGGCGTGAGCCACCATGCCTGACTCAAAAGTGGCATTTTTTAAATTAAAAAATTATGTAAATGTTGCCCTTTAAGGCCCTGCCACCTCTTTGTGGCACTTAGGATTTGCACATTGAAATCCCCTGCAGTCAAACAGTATCAGATTCCACAGATCTCATAAGTCTGGTTTCCCTGTTTCCCAGGTCCTCATAGAGCTGTTTTATTGCCAAAGCTGAGATAATGAAAAATAAAAAACAAAAGTAAAAATATTTGGTTAGAAAATATTATTTGGAAAGAACAAATAACATTACATTTTTGCCCCACAAGCTGATGATGCATTACATGAGACCAGAGAAGGATTTTAGGAAATTGTAGTTTCTAGCCTAAAGAAAGATAATTTGAAAATTGTGCTTTGCTTATTTCTTTTTGTTACATTATTTGAGAATAAATGTTTGTGTTTTATTCCTAATGCATTGTGGTGGGTACAGTCAATACTGTAGGGTCTAAATTATAACAAAATACAAATAGGCTAACAAATCCATGAAATAATCATAATAATGCAGCAATGTTGCATTCACTAAGTAACCATTTATGAGATCAAGATTTTACTCTTTCATTATAGATAATGGGAATGCAGCATTGTCAGTGGAGATGTATTCCTGTAAGAAATACAAGACAGAGAATAAAATATATTTGTAGAAATTCTGATATCTTTTATTTTAATTATAGTCACCCATAGTTTTAATCAAGATAAAATAGATGGCAGGATATTATTTAGATTATTTAGCTTTGTCAACACAAATATAAAAGGAAAACTAATTCTCATAATTTTCCTATTTGCTCCATTATATTCGAACATTGGACAATGTTTGATACTCTGTGTCATACTCATTTTTTTTAATTTTATTTAAAACTTTTAAAACTATTAAGTTATTAAATTG